CCGCCGCAGAAGTTGCGCGTTGAAGTCCCCGAAGACCATGGTCGTACTGTGCGCGGTCGTAGCCCGAATAAGGTCTTGTAGTTCGTAGTGGAACGCCTGGCGTTTCTCATAATCCAGGCCGCTTTGAGGAGCATATGCAGTGATCAACGTCAGCATCCCGCCTTTCACCTTTATTCGAAGTGTGGCCAACCTGTCTGAACAGGCCTTGAAGGCGACAATGGACTTCAGGATTTTGGGGCTCACCAGGAAGCCAACGCCTGCATATGTGCGAGTTTCCACATCCAAGCTGCCAGATAGGAAGATCTTGAAATCGTTTGTCATGTAGTACTCCGCCCCGTGCAAGTGTGTCTCCTAAATGTACAAAGCATCTATGCCGCGATCGCCCATGCACTGCATCAGCTCGTCGAGTTTGATGATTGAGTCACCCCGGAGGCCTTCAACATTCCAGGTGCCGATGCGATTGATTTGACACGGAATGCACAACCGCCTCTGCGTGTTCCATCCGGGAGGGTTTTGAAGAGAAAGAGAAGTATAAGACGTAGGACCACCAACGGGAATTGAACTTGGATTGCTGGCGGAAGTCGCATCTTTGCGGGCTTCTGGACAAGATCTTCGACGAGAAGGGCATGAGGAAGAGGATTGGCGTGGTAAACCTTGATGCCGTGCTTCAGGTATGGTATATTTGCCCAATTCTGCAGCACGGTCTGCTTCTACGCCTGCGCAAAATTGACCAGTAGCTGTGGCTGTGCCCATTCCCAAATTCATAAAGGCAGTTGGTGGTGAAGAAGGTGCTGTAGAAATCCCATATCCGCCTGTAGAAGAAAATATAAATGAAGGGCACTGGCCTAAATGAAGTCTCGAGCGCGATCCTCAGCGCCTCGGGTCACAGAAAGAGGAGAACGAAGCACAGGAGGTGGAGAAGAAGGATCAGCATAAGAAGCAAAACAATGTACAGCTGGACCTGGTAGACGAGCAGGTGGAAGTAGAATGGCCCCAGAGAAAGGGGAAGATGAATGTGAAACTTTCGCTGCTGGCTGAAAGAGTGTAGCTTCGCCCAAACTCGTACTCACGGCAGCGTCGTTTTTTCGAGGTCCATTGTTGTCGTCGAAATCGGCACCGGCACTGGACGGACAGGTCCGTGAAGCGATAAGCGTGACCAGTGCCTGCCGCGCGCCCTAATGGGGCGCTGATCCTTTAGATTTTCCTTTTGCTCCGCCCTTCATCCCCTGAGCTGCTCTATGAAGGATCCCATCGCACCTCGCCGTCAGCTCGGCGAGTTTTCCGTGGTTCTACAAATCGCCGAAGGACAACAAATCTTTTTCACATACATTTGCAATTTATATGTCCTGCACATTTACCGTTAAGGCCAATAACCCACCAACATGTACTGTGTATGGTGCTTCTTCGGAGACTCTGATCGTGTATGGGTTCTGCAGTTCGTTTTTGAGTAACTATTTAACCCCAAAGCAGTAGCTCCGAGCTGCACGGTCGGCTGGCTCCCTGTCCTGCGTTGCCCAAATGATCTTGTCCCCACGCTTGAGGCCACTACTGCGTAGCAGGGCGACCCCCGTATCCCGTTCGAGCATGCCGTCAAACTCCGCGAACAAGATGCCACGAAACTCTCCTTTAGCGTACAAGTTTGTGGGGATTGGTCCTTGCAGTGAGGACAGTTGCTCTCGGATGTATGTGCATGCCGATCCGATGGAGTCAAAGTTGTCGAGTTTGCCAATGACCGCCGTTGAAGCACGTTTGCCTTGATAGTGGTAGGCATTCGCTGTACCTGCGGAGGTATACGATTTTCCAGAAGCCGATCGTGGTGTAAAAGATGCTATGTGCTCCAAGTCGTGTTTGAACTTGTCGAAACGCTAGTTCATTGCATTTTCCATGTTGGTGACCTGTATCTGTATATCCTCAATATCGTTCTCGAACTTTGTGGTTATCTCTTCAATTGAGGCTTTAAGTGGGTCCGTGGCCTCCTGCAAGTCTCGACGGGAAACTCCATGAAGCTTGATCGCCGCAGTATCTTCCTGGATTGGTCGTAGGTGTTCTGCTATAAGCGTACCAATAGCTGCCAAAGTTAAAGTTCCATCAGTGCCGGCACCATCGCTGGAGGTTCCCGGCTGTGCTGCAGGCCCGGCGTCTTCCAGTCAATTCTGAAGTCGTTGCTGCAGCGCGCTGGCGAAGTCAGCGTCGTCGAGCCCGTCCATCTCCTGTAGTGGACTGTGGATCGGGTGCTGCTTGAACAAATGCTGCCCAGGTGTACCTGGCGCGCGTTTGTCAGAAGTAACCTGCGCAGAAGAAGACATCAGTGAGGAAAGTGTGAGTAAGTGCCTCCGACAGGAGTCTGAAAGCAGAGGCCTCGCAAGGAGAGGGGGGGGATTCGAAAAATGAATGCCCTCGAGCCAACGGACTTGAGCCAAACCTTTTCTTATCCAGTATCCCATGGTGGCCCTGGGTGGCCAAACCATCCGTGGAGGCTGCAGCCTGGCCCCGATCATGCAATCTTGAGAATGGCGGTTTGCCGAGGCGGCCAGCTACCTCCTGAGAGCGGCCTCCAGGGTCCAAACGAAGCCCCAGTAGGGCCCCTTTCTAGCTTCCTCCGACCTCACGGGCCGAATTGGAAAGAACTACCTGGTTGCCGTCGCCGAGAGCTCTTGGCACGGCGACGTGGCGCCTGGAATCAGCGACGAGCTCAGCATGGCGCGCCCGTTCGTGGAGCAGCACTCGCTGTGGTCCACAAGCGCCCCCCCCCCCGCGACGCGCACACATGTGAGGCACGGCGCGGCCGGCCGTGGCACTCCCTGCGCCGGCCCCACATGTGAGGGGGGGGGGCAGTGGAACCGTCAGGGGTCCATCCCGTCCGAGGGGGGGGGGAGGGGTGTGATGGGTGGTTCCACGATGGGGTCCTGAGGGATGGGGTCCCGAGGGCGAGGCGCCGCAAGCACCGTGAACCCCTGGGCCCCCATCCTCAGGATCCTGAGGCCCCCGCTCCTCAGGATCCCAGCCTTGAACCACCGACGTGAACCTTCGGTTCGGGATCCTACGCAGCCCGACCTGGCCGATGAAGACCAGGTCGCCCGCGGGGGCGCGAAGCGGATCGCGCAGCGCGCGTCGCGGCGCGCGGCCGCCCCTCGTCTCCCGGGGGGCGGGCGGCGCGAGGGCACGGAGGGCACCGAGGGCGCAGAGGTTCGTCGCGGGCCTCGCTCCTCGCGGGCGCGCGGTGCGCGGAGTGGGGCGACCGAGGTGCCCAGGCCCCCTCGGGGCAGGACGAACGAACACGACGGGGGGGGGTTCGCCATGTTCGGCCTCGATGGGGCCCTAGGCCCCCTCGGGGCAGGACGAACGAACACGACGGGGGGGGGTTCGCCATGTTCGGCCTCGATGGGGCCCTCGCTGGGCCCTCGGGGCCGCCCACAGAACGGCTCTGGACGAGAAACCAGTCCCGGGGAGTGGGGTCGGGACCTTTGGGGGATCGCGTCATGGACAAGTCATGGCGCCGGGGGTCTGGATAAGTGAGCTGCAAGTCCCCTAAGTGGCTTGCGGGGGTGAGTACTCCACCAGGTTGGCCGAGCCCACTTGGTCCTGCTCTTTACCCGCCCTGCGCTGCTATAGGGCTCTCGCGATGCACCCGTGACCCACACAGAAGCCAGTTCAGGATGATATAGCCCGCTTGACCGTCCATTTATAGGCCCCTATGCCCTCAACCCCCGCGGTGAGCTCAGCATGAAGCAATCCCAGATCTCCGGCGATCTGCTTTTGTTCAACCCCAGCGTTTTTCCTCGATTCCGTCCCTCGGGATCTCTATTCGGGGCCCGTGACCGTTAAAACGCATCGGGGACGAAAAGCTACCCTTGAGGAAGCGGTCAGGGCCTCAGGGGTCGCGGATTGAAAAAACAGACCGATAGATGCCAGGGAACGGGTCCTGAGGGAAACAGGCAGGCCCCAAGAGGTGCAACAAGCATGGGTTTACCTGGGCTTACATTTAAGTCAGGCATGTCCCTCGAGGTACAGGAGGAATATTCAAGAATAGTAAAAAGTCTTGAGACGATTCTTCGTGCTCGTTGAACCTTGCATGCTTTTGACTATTTAAGATTTCTTCTTCGAGAATCCGCCTGTAGGAGGACGTGCGCGACCTAAACTTACATGTCGGAATTCGAGTTCTCGTGGCGTTTGTGCCTCGCTCGGCGGGCTTCCAGGAGCCCAGGGCGGCCCGCGAGGCTCGCCCCCCCCCCCCCCCCACGCCGGCCCCGGGCCCCCCACAGGGCCCAAGAGGCCCCGAGAGACAGCCCATCAGGGCCCCCAGAGACCCCAAGAGGCCCCCCTCAAGACGAAGCCAGGACGAGGATAGAATCGGGTAAGAGTATAGTCGAGATTCTCCGAAATACAGGCCTCGGAAAAATAACGAACACGCATGCCACATTCATCGGTCAACGCCTCCCCCTCCCCCCAGTGTTCAAAGTCGGCGGTGGGTCTGATGAGTTCCACTTCGACCGTAGTCTCCCCCGCGCGTGCCGGCTTTGAGTCTGGGGGAGCAGGGGAGTGTCCGCTAATTGTTTCCCCCGGCTGTACGGCGGAGGCCCATGCCAAGAAACACCCTGCTCGGCTCCAAGGTGCCCTGGGTTTCTTGGGTTTCGCTGGTTGTGCTATGGAAGGCGTGACGTTCCCACACCAAGAATCAATGGACCTCATGGGGTCTCAGGGCTGGGTTTCTTGTGGTCGAGCCCCTACTGTACGACGGATCTGGAAGATGTCTCGGGCGCCGCGGCCTTCTCGGAGCGCTCCAGTACGCTCTGAGAGCGTCCCGGAACGCCCCGGAACGGATTTATATCCTCGTCCTGGCCACGCCCCTGCCTCCGAAGATGGCTTGCTGTTTTGGGCCGCTCTGCACCCTCCACGGTCGCCAGGGCAGTTGCAAGACAAACGACTCGGGATGACGAGCTCTGTCCTGCGTAGATGCCCCGGGATCCAGGACCCATTTCCTTAAGGGCGCCGTTCCCTTGATGCCAACGGAGGGCCGCCGAGAGCACCTGGGCCGGCACCGCCGGTCGGCGCTCGTGGAAGGATCGGGGGAGGAGAAGATTCAGAGTCGACAGCAAAAACAATCGACACCACCCCACCTAATTACGGCCCTCCATGTTGCGCTACGGCCCGTCGGGCGCCGTAGCGTATACCACGCGAAAGTCCGCGCCAGGTTTCCTGGTATATGCTGAGCCCCGTGGGGCCGTAGGTGGGATGGTGTCGTTTGTTTTCTGGCCCACAGAGACCTTGGCGTCGCCATTTTTTTTGTTGCACGTGGCGTTTCCGCCCTTGGGCCCTCGCGAATCGATCTGGCTTGGCCGCAGAACAAGTGGGTCCAGGGCTCAGGCTCTGATTTTCAACGGCCGAGGTCTTCTCTTGACACACGTAAGAGTGACCCTTCGCCGAAGTGACCTTCGGTGCGGGCACATTGGGGTCCCCCGATCGCCGAACGCGAGGCCGCAGAGGCGTCTTGCGCGCTTGTGTTTGGTCCTCCCGCGGCCTACAAAAAGCTGCGCACTAAATGTCACCCTTACCCAGGGGCACAAACGGGAGGTTTTAAGTATTCGGCCTCAGGGGGCCCTCAACAGTCCCCGCGGGACCGTCAGAAAAGGGCTCAGGAGGAAAAGTCGGTTCGGGGGAAAGGGTTCAGACTTCCGAGGTCCACGCTGGGACAAAAATCACGACGTCGGGTGTCCTGGGTTGCTGATGCCGTTACCCGCCTCATTACGGCTGGATTCGCCCCGAAGTTTTGGTCAGGGCGCGCCCCTGGAGGGGTCCAGGGAGTCGCGGCGCGATATCGGTTTCTTTCTGTTTCCCCACTTGGATTGCCGCCCAGGTTGCTGAGCGGATAGGGAGTTGTGAGTGGATGCTGGGGGGTGGGTTATACCTTGCCTAGCCCAGCGTAGAAGTGGGTTACAAGGTGCCCTAGGTGGCTTGGGTTGGTTCGATCTCTGCGCTAAGAGGGCGCAGCCCACTTAGCCCAGATCTTGTCTGGATATTGTAGTCGTCAGCTCCAATTATTATGCAAACATGTCATCATCCCACCCGCAACTTGTTCGCAAAGCTCATCTGGCCATGATGTGAGCAAGCGCACCGGCGCGTAGAAGTCAACCGCGCAGACAAGTCCGTCCTGCAGGTCGCGGAGTAGTGGTGACGATGGTGACGACCGCGACACCAACGATGATGGCGATGATGGCGATGACGCTGATGCCGATGGTGATGACGCTGGTGATAGGGGGACGTCGCGATGTCGACGAGGACTCATCACTCCATGTTACATATCCCTCTACGGTCAAGAACTGTGGCTTAGCATGTCGCGGTGCCGTCTCTGGCCCACCACCCAGTCACCCCGCATCAGCATCTTGAGTTTTCCCCAGCCTTCCGGAGCGCCATTCTATTAGCTCGCAAGACATAGCGAGTCGCCAGGGCCCCCGCCACGACACGTTAAGCAAAAGTCTCTTCCAACCGCAGCCCATTTTAGCACCCACGCTTACCCCGTATCTTCAAGAGAGGGAACAATCACCTGGACCCGATACTTGGCGTGTGCGAAACGGCCCTGGGCGTTTACTAAACAGCCCTGCCCCGTCAGATTCCTTGTTTGAGTGCGCTTACGAGACGGCTTCGCCTGTCGGGGTGGTTATTATTGGGGTTTATGTTCTGCCCTCTATATCCGCTCAGCGACCCCCGCGGTGATGCGCGAAGGAGGCGCACGACGCCGCAAAGGAGATCCAGGACAGGCTCCAGCGCATCATCTCGGGCTCCGCCGAGAGGGTGTCCGAGCTCGACGCGCTCTCCACGGGCTGGGGCGCGCGGGCTCCCAGGGTGCCGCCGGTGCCGCAGAGTCCGCCCAACCCCGCCGAGGCTCGCAAGATTGGCGACCGCCGCCTGAAGCCCTTTGGCAAAAACGCCATGGGGGAGGCGTTGCAGGGATGGTTCTCGAAGGAGCAACAAGTCAGAGGAGGAAGATGTGCCGATGTAACCACTCGTCCTGGGATGAGCCCTCGTCGCCGCGGCCGGATCCTCATCGAACTTCGAGACGTTTCGCGTAACCCCAAAGGCCCATCCAGAAACCATGCCACTGCGAGTTGCCCTGATCAGGGATGTGGAGGAGCATGCAGTGAAACAAAGGGTTGAGGAAGCCATCATACTCCAAGAGGGGGAGGATAGAAGAGGAATCGGAGGAAGAGGAAGAGGAGGAGGAGGAGGACGAGGAGGAGGAGGAAGGCCAGGGGCCTCTGGGCTGCCTCTCGGGGTCTCTTCGGATGTCTCTTGAGAGCTTCTTGGAGTCCTCTGAGGGCGTCTTCGGAGCCTCCTGGGGCGTCTTGGGTGCCCCTTGCCAGTCCTGGGGGCCTCTTGGGGCGTCTTGGCGTCTTGGGGCCTCTTGGGGCATCCTGGGGGCCTCTTCGAGCGTCTCGGGTGCCTCGGGAGAACCTCTTGGAACATCTTGGAGGTCTCTTGGGAGCCCCTTAGGGAGCTCTTGGAGGCCTCTTGGGGCCTCCTTTGCGCCTCTCGGGGCCATCTTGGAGGAGTTCGATCGCAGAAGGGGGGTGCTCAATCAGGGTCCCCTCCCAGGAGGCCAAAATTGGCCAAACACCTTAGTAACATTAGACATTGTTGCCTTCTCGCCGAGGCCGTCTTGGACGATCCAATCTGTCGCGGCCCCCCCCCATCCAGATCCAGGGGAGGGGGTAGGAGGATGGGTAAACCCCTCACTATGGGAGAATATTGAGGGTTGGAAGAGGAAACTCGCTAAACCACTCACGCCCCAAAGGGCTGGTTGGATTCTGGTCAGAGCGCACCCCGCGTGAGAGATCCGCGGAGTAGCAGCATCGGTACCTCAATGATCCTCCAAGCTGAACGTTCGGATCCGAGGTCCGCACGGCTTTCTTGGATCTGCGCTTGCCACCCCCGGCGGCGCCTCCGGTGCCGCCCCCTGGCCGCGCCCCGTGCGCCAGGGAGGGGGGACACCTGGCGCCGATTGTGCTGCTCTGCCTCTAGGTTCGAGGCGCCGGAGGGCGAGGCCTACCGGGACCTGGAGCAGGACCCGCCCGTTCTCGCCTTCGGCATCCTCGGCAAGGGCTCCGTCGTCGGCACCTCCCCCCCGGAGCTGCTCGAGCTCCCGGAGCGGCTCTACCCCGTGCAGCTGACCGCGGGCGCCCAGGACGACCCGGGCGCTGGGCCCGAGGAGAACCGCCTGTGGAAGGATTCCATTCGAAGGAGGAACCACGGCACAAGCATCAGTTGTCGGGGCTCGGTAAGGATATGCCTGGCATCGGCGCTGGACCTCGAGGAAGAGCAAAACCCAACGATGATAAACGTTCGGAGGTTCGCGCGCACGTCTTGGGTCGGCGCTGGGTGTCCCCCTCTCTGGCGCGCTCCGCGCGCCAGAGAGGGGCAGCGCCGGAGGCGCCGCCGAAGGGTGCCCAGCGCCGATCCCAGGAACATCCGCGTGGAGCTCCGAATCCGAAAGTTTGGGTTGGATCGGGCCGTCAACCAATTTCGACGTAATTATCCTGACCGAACCCTGTCTGCTGAGAAAAGGTGCTGTCCATCGTCATCGCCGCCCTGTCTGCACCGTCGACCGCGAAAGCCGCTCTCCCAGGGCCATTTCTGGGCGTGCGAGGCCGCTCGAGTTCGATCCTAGGGCGCCCGCGATGGTCCTGGCACCGACCAAGTGGCAGTGAGGAGACGTTGGGCGGCCCCCAGCGACCCAGAAGTGCCCCCAAAGAAGGCTTCGAGAGGCGGGAAACTTTGGTTCTCCTTGGGTTTTCCGTGGTTTTTAGCATCTTCACTTTTCCGATGTTCCGATGTGCCAAGGAGGCCCGCGAAGCCCCCCAAATGGCCCGCCCCCCCCCGAGGGCTCCCGGCCTGACCAAGAGGTGTCCACGATGGTCTCCCCGGGCGACACCTCGGCCGGGCCCTAGTGAGGCCCAGAGAGATCCTTGGGAGCTCAAGGAGAGCTCCGCTGGACCCCAAAAGGGTCCCAGACGGTGTGCGCATCTATGAATGTCTGAATGCATGCATGCAAATTTGCTTGTATGTATGTATGTATGTATGTATGTATGTATGTATGTATGTATGTATGTATGTATGTAGGTATATATGTGTGTATGTATGTATGTATGTATATATGTATGTATGTGTGTATATGTATGCATGTATGTATGTATGTATGTGTACATCCATGCATTCATGCATGCATACATGCATGCATATGTGTACGTACGTATGCATGTACGAACGAATGAATGAATGAATGTATGTATGTATGTGTGGATGTATGAATGCATGCATGTATGCATGTCTGATGTATGTATGTACGTATGTATATATGTATAGGTATATGTAAATGTGCATGTATGGTTGTATGCAAGTGTGTATGTATATATGTGAGTGTATGTATGTATGAATGTGTGTATGTACAGGTGTACGTATGTATGCATATGTGTAGACGTGTATGTATGCATGCATGCAAGTATGTATGTGTGGAGGTATGTATGCATCACGTATGTGTATGTGTGTATGTGTGTATGTGCATGTGTATGTGTATGTGTATGCGTATGTGTATATGTATGTGTGTATATGTACGCACGTACGTATGTGTGTATGCGTGTACTTGTGTCTGTATGCATGTATGTATGTATGTATGCATGTATGTGGGTAGGTAGGTATGTATGGTTGTATGCGCGTACGTGCGTATTAATGCATGCATGTATGTATGTATGTATGCATGCATGCGTTCATGCCGGCGTGTATGTGCAGGCGTGTGTGTGTGTGTACGAATGCATGTATGTATGTATGTATGTATGTATGTATGTATGTATGTATGCACGTATGCACATACGTACGCACGTATGTATGCATGCATGCATGCATGCATGTGTGTAGTGTACGTGTGTATGTGTTTGCATGCATGTATGTATGTACGTCTGTACGCAGTGTGTTTGTATATATGTATGTATGTAGGTATCTATATATATATAGATGTAGGTTTGTATATGTATATGTAGCTGTAGCTGTACATGAATGTGCATTTGTACGTGTACATGCTTGTGTATACATACGCATGTATGTGTGTATGCATGCATGTGTGCATGCATGTATAACAGTAGTGATGCATACATGCACGTCTGCATGCATTCTACATGCATGCATATACGTATGTATTTACGTATGTATGTGCGTGTGTATGTGCGTATGTCTATGTGTATGCATGTTTGTATGCATGTACGTATGCAGGCATGCTTGTCAGTGTTTATGTATGTCTGTATGCATGTATGCATGTATGCATGTATGCATGCATGTATATATATATATGAATATGTATGTCTGTCTGTAGGTATGTATGTATGCATGTATGTATGTATGTATGTATGTATGTATGTGTGCATATATGTACACCGATATATTTTGTGTGCATATATATATATATATATATATATCAGGAGGGACAAACACACAAACACTGATAATCGTGGGGATGCAGAACATGTTGGAACCATAGGGGGATCCTGGGACCTGTGGCTGTTTCTTTGTGCGTTTTGGGGCCCCTCCAGGTGTATACATGTTTGTGCCGGTGTGCCTTATACTGGCTAGGCAGTACCCCTGTCTAGCTCCTCGCGGGAGCGGAGCTCGCCGCCTCGCCGCCGACGGAACGAAAACGTGTCTTTGTGCCGCTGTCTCTCCCTCGGCCCGTGGAGCTCGTGGTCGAGCAGCTGGAGCTCCTCTGGCCGGACGCCGAGCGGGCGGCGGCGAGCGTGCAGGCCGCGGAGGCGCGGGCGGAGGCGCGCGTGCCGGCGGATCTGGCCGCGTTCCGGCGGCGGGCGCTTGACGCCATGGAGGAGTCCTGCCCGGACCCGACGGTGCAGAGGCCGGAGCTGGAGAGGTGCCTGGGCAGGATGCAGGAGGAGAAAAATCAGGGGAGGAAAAGGTACCCATACCTCTACCCTCTCCTCGTTTTACCCTTTTTGGGCCTCCGTCGTCGCCACCGCTGGATTCGCCTCGAAATCCTGGTCAGAACGCACCCCAGGAGAGGTCCGGGGAGTAGCGGTATCGGTACCTTTTCGTTTCCCAGGGGGGGATGCATCGACACCCAATCGCCCATTGATCGCCGACAGGGGCCCGATAGCCCTGCCCAGGAAGGTGCGGACTCACTATCGGGGCCCTATCGCCGATCTATCGGCGATGTATCGCCGATTCCAGGTCGATGCATCCCCCCCTATGCCAGTCCCCCCCTATCGTCGCCCCTCAGCCCTGGGTCCGCTAGCTAGGTCAAGTGGGCGGAACCCAGTTAGCCCAAATCCTCAGCCCAATATGCTCGTCTAGGACGAATGCACCCCAACTTCTTATCCACTTCTAGCCCCATATCCACTTAGCGAACACCGTGGTGGTCCAAGTACTGAAACCGCCCTGTGCTGGCGCATCCCCCCGTCCAGGTTGTGCAGCCTGGTCAATCCCATCACGCGGCGCGTAGCCCCAGCAGCCCGTTCAGAAAGGCTGCCGATGAGAGCTGACGGGAGACGGGCGGAAGAACACTGGACGCGATGCCCAGACGAGTTGCCTTCTCCAGGGAAGGGGAGAAGCGTGCAGTGGAACATCTTCCCCGAGAGTTACGAGGAGGAGCTGGAGAAGGAGGAGGACGACGACGACGAGTAGGAGAAGGAACAGGAGGACCAGCACGGGGGTGAGAAGGAGGCGAAGGACGAGGACGAGGAGGAGGAGGATAAGGAGGAGGAGGCGGAGGACGAGAACGAGAAGGAGGAGGACGAAGAGGACGAGGATAAAGACTCTGGCAGCCATCTTGGGATCCTTTTGATGCCTTTTTGGCGTCCCCTTGGGGCTGTCTCGGGGCCCTCTTGGGGCCTTCTCTGGGGGGTCTTGGGGCCCTCTTGTGCCTCGTTTGGGGTTTCTTCTGGCCTGCCTTGGGAGCTCTGGAGGGTATTTTGGGGGCCATCGTGGAGGCCATCGGTTAAAGGAGGGGGGTCGTAACGTCCCCCCGTCGCGACGACCAGCATCTCTTCCCAGCCGACCCCCCGCCCCCGCCCTCCGCTCGGACGGGCCCCCCGAGGCCCCGAGGGCCTCCCAAACGGCCCAGGAACGCCCCCCCCCCAGGAAGACCCCCAAGACACACCAGGCCCCAAGACGCAGTTGCACGGTCCATGAAGCACCCCCAAGAGGCCCCGCAGGAACCCTTTGTAGCCTCAGAGCAACCACCGATTTTCTCTTCCTCATCCTCTTCCCCTCCTCCTCCCCTTCCTCCTCCTTCATCTCCTCCTCCACTTCAACATCCTCCTCCTCCTCCCCCTCCTCCTCCGCCTTCCCCTCCTCCTCCTCCTCCTCCTTCATCTCCTCCTCCTCCTCCTCCTCCTCCGTAGCCATTTTGGCTCAAGCTGATTGTGTGAAAAGCTCGAGCTTGTGCCCGCGTACTTCGAAGCGGCTCGTGGGCACGAGCCTTCCATTCTTCACGAAGGAGCCAAGCGTCTGCGAGAGGCGGCGCATGGTTCCCCAGCCCGATGTGCTGCCAGGCGCTCGCACCCCCTACTGGGGGTGCTCCTGCGGCTGCTGGAACAACTGGGCGAGTCGGATCAAGTGCAGGAGTTGCGGGGCATCGGCACCCGCGAAGGTGGTACAGGCGGCGCGCAGGGCTGCCGCGGCTGCCAAGAGCCCTTCGGTCCCGGTCAAGCCACAGGCTCAAGGCGCCTGGGCCGACGGGCCGCCAGGAGGGGCAGTGGCGGCCGAGCAGGCGAGGCTCATCCAGGAGTTGCGCGTCAAAGTGGCGGAGCTCAGCGGCGAGCCAGCGCCGCCAGTGCACCCATGGCACCAGCAGCCTGCTGGCACCAAGGCCAAGGGCGGCGGCAAGGGGCAGGGCCCAGCTGGAGGCGGTTCGCCGAAGGCCAAGGGCGAGGCGCCAGCGCCTGCTGCGGGGCTCTCCCACGAGCAGGTGGCGGAGTTCCTCAAGAGTGAGGGCCTTGAGGACGCCCACGCTGCTGTCTTGGCGGCTGCGCAGACCAAGGCCGAGGCGCCGCCCAAGCCGCCCACCACCATGTCTGCCTGGTGGAAGGTGGAGAACCTCAAGAAGAAGACCCAGAAGGCAGAGGCCCGCTGCGTTGACATCAATGCGCAGAGGGCAGCCCTCGACGAGGAGCTTGACGGCATCCAGAAGGGGGTCGACCAGGCCAAGGCGGACCTTGTCGCAGCCCGTGGCGTGCTGGCGAAGCTCCAGGCAGGAGAGCACGAGAACCCTCTCAAGGTGCTCACGGCGGGGCTGGAGCCTGCTGCGCTGTCAGCGCAGGCAGGCAAGGACGCCCTTGCTGTCCTTGAAGGGCTCCAGCGCCAGGCGGCCGCGGAGGCTGAGGCAGCCAAGCAGGCGGCAGAGGCTGAGGCCAGTCGCCCAGGCCCTCCTGGCGATCCTGCTGCTGGTGGTCAGGCAGTGGGTGCCCCTGATGCTGGAGGTGAGCACCAGGCCGTTCCCATGGACGAGACCGACTTCCTGGAGTCTGACTTCCCGGAGTCCCTCAAGCGAGCCATGGGCGGCGAGGGGGACGCGTCTGCAGCCGTGGCCAAACTGCTCGCCGAGCACACGGCCAAGAAGGCGCGGCGAGGGTGACGGCCTTGTGCGTCTTGATGCTGCCCCAGTGGCGTCTGGTGCTCCCGAGCCTGCGGCGAGGGCGAACTTCGGCATGGCCGACCTCGACGCCTTCGCAAGTGGCAACATGATCGATTTCGACTGGGAGCAGGCGACGGGCTTCGCAGTCCCAGTGGTGAGGGACGACCTTGTCTTCGACACGGGGCTGTTCCGCCAGTTCGACGGGGTCGGTCTGGACCCACGGCAGTGGCCTCGCCTGGGCCACGAAGCTTCGGACAGAGACGGACGGTCTCGCGAAGCTGCCCCCCCTCGGGTCGAGGACCCTCGAAGAGGGTCAGGGCCAGGGACATCTTCTTCTGGGTCGACCTCGACCCCGACGGCATCACTTGCTGTTATGTCGCGCGAGGCGGGACCCCTCGGTCGCAACGGGGCTGGGGGCTATCCCCGCGAGTCCACAGCTCCTACGGGTACCACCTCGGGGTCGGCGGCTCCCTCGGCTTCGGGCACCGCGTCGGGTGGTGGTACCAGGACGGCTGGTGGCGCACCTACAGTGCGGAAAGGCCCGCACCACCTCTCCTCCCCACCTGTTCATGGACATGGCGATTCGCAGGCTTGCGTCGCATCTGGAAGTGATGGGCCTTGTGTTCTCGATGGAGGCCTGGGCGATTTCATGGAAGGATGTGGCGGTCTGCTTCCACCTGCGGCAGGAGCTGCTGGGCGCCAAGCTAGCCCTGACGGTGTTCCAGGAGACGCACCTTCTGTGCGGAAAGGGCTGCACCATCTCTCCTCCCCACCTGGCGACGGACGCGGAAAGGGAAAACTAGGTCAGGACGGCGCGGCTCGTGGAGTCGGCCACCCGGTCACGATCGTCAGCGATCTGATCATTCTTGGTGTGAACGCGAACACGTGGGACTCGTTCACCAATGTGGTAGACTGGTGTAAGGACCAGGAAGCGAACCTCTTCGGCGTGGCGTCGGCTTCAGGCGAACCAGTCAAGCCGCATGTGATCTGTGTACAAGAGACTCGGCTGAAGGAGAAGGGTAAGTTGGACTCCGCCTACGGCTGGGGTGATCGCCGCTCCTTCGCGTTTTCTCTAGGACCAGCAGCGTCCACGGGAGCAGGTCCGACGCAGTCCTCGGCAGGAGTAGGCTTGGCAGTGGCCAGCTCCCTGGCGTCTTCCAGTGTGCCACGGCCACCCGAGTTGGAATCTTTCAAGTCGCGCGTGGCAAGCAGGCACATCAACGTAGGACTTCCAGGTGGGTTGATGGTTTTCTCGGTCTACCTCTACACCAGCATTGGCGTAACAGGGGACAATGTTGAGTTGTTGAACACTCTTGGCGAGTACATCAAGTCCCTAACATGCCTCTGGATTGTGCAAGGTGATTGGAACCTTACTCCTGAAGAGCTTGAAGCATCGGAATGGGTGTCCAAGGTTGGGGGCTGCATGTTTACGACGGGCTGCGCTACGTGTAGAGCAGGGCCCGCTCCAGGAACCAGTTCGGGGCCTGAGGAGGAGGTCGACAGGAAGGATGAGCGGGAGATCGATTTCTTCGTGGGGTCCAGGTGTTTAGGGCACTGCGTCAAGGAGGTCCTGGCGTTCCCAGCGGCCCCTTCGTGGCCTCATATGCCTGTGGGCATCGTCGTCAAGAACCTGGCCCCGTCGACGGTCGTCCCGAAGCAGGTTAGATATGTGCAGTTCCCCCTGGACAAGCTTGTGGGTCCTCGGAGGCTCCCTACTGAAAGCACGTGGTCTTGGGAAGTCGGAGGTGGCTCGCACTGTTTGGGGTCCATGGTCAGGGAATGGTTTACCCAGGCTGAGGGCTGGCTCATGCAGTTCCACGACCTAGACAGTGCTAGCGCTGCCAGGATGTGCGGAAGAGCTGGGGGCCCTAAGGTCACAAAGATTCCCCTCGAGACGGTTTGGGACCGAGAGTCTAGGAGGAGATATTCAAAGCGGACCACCAGTTGGATGTCCTTCGAGGCGTTGGCTTGTCGTGCAGCTGCAGTTGGCCAAGATATGCTAGGAGCCAGAGCACGCGGTCTTTTTCACGAATGGCGTGCCGCCCTGTTCGGGATGATCTCGGCGCTGGAGGCGCCAGACGAAGGCGCGAATGCCCGCTTTTTGATCAGCCTGGTGGAAGGGATATCCATGGGGCTCAGAGAGGAGTTAGAAGGGCTGTTCGGGCAGTTACGGGAGTATGTAGAAGGCCTGCGCAAGTCGGACGCCAAGGAGTCCCTGTCGGAATGGAAGGAGTGGGCAAAGTCGTCAGTGCAGCGGGGAGGGAAGGCAGCTCATGCTTATTCCAGGGTCTCTCGCGCAGACAGGACGGTCCCGTTCAGTGTCGTAGACGACCATGGCCGCTTGCCAGTCAACAGTGAGCTTGCGCTCCTCCAGCTTCTCGATCAATGGCTTCCCCTTTGGCACAAAGAAGGCAGGCTCAGCGAAAATCACCCAGCTCATTGGGATGTGTTGGGACATGACTTGCCACCCATATCATTGGAGCAGTTGAGGCGTGTGTGTAACTCGTATGGGGAAGGGGCTGGTCTTGGGTGGGACTCCTTCCATCCCCGCCAGATCTTGTTTCTTCCAGAGGAATATCAGTTGCGTGTTATTGATATCCTTCACTCGTTCGAAGATCGACCTTGTGTGATTGCAGAGTTTTTGACGAATATCATCTTCCTTGATAAGCCAGATGGTGGAGTACGCCCGATAGGATTATTGTGCATGTTCACCAAGATTTGGTCGCAGTGTCGTCAAAACATCTGCCGTACCTGGGAACAGGCCCACGAGCAGGCCTTCTTCTGGGGCGTCGGGGCCACGTCGACCTGCGAGAGAGCAGGATGGGTCCATAACATGCTGGCCCACTTCGGGAAAGTCCTAGGGACCTCGGCGGCGACGGTGCTTCTGGACCTTAAAAAGTTCTATGAACACATCGACCATATGGACTTGTATCGTGCGGCGTGCCAGCATGGTTTCAATTTGAAGCTACTGCGAGGGCTGTGTGTGATTTATGCTGGGGATAGGATGCTGCACTATGGAGGGGCGGTGTCTAGGAAGGTGCAAGGTAATGGGGCAGTGATTGCAGGGTGCTCAGCAGCTACCACGCTTACGAAGTTACTTTTGTTATCGCCGCTTGCGGCCGCGCAGTCTGGCCGGCCACAGTTGTGCATCAGAAACGTGATAGACGACATCGCGTTGCAGATTGTTGGGCCGCAGCAGCTCATTGCACCGCAGCTCGCCTCAGGTGTGCAGTCCCTGTTGTCCAGTTTCTCGGAGCTCGAACTCCCCGTCTCGGATGAGTCGAAGTACATGACAAGCGACTTGAATTTGGATGAGGCCTTGCAGCCCCTGTGGGACCTTCCGAAGGAAAGCAAGGTAGATCATGCAAGGAACCTCGGCACCGACGCGGTGATGGGGTCCCTTCGGAGGGTTCAGATCACTCGGGACAGGTGGGACAAGGCCAGAGGGAGGACGGCTAAGATTAAGAAGCTCAGGGAGGCGGGGGCCAACACGGGGTTCATTCAACGGGGAGGCCCTACAGCGTCGGCTCTATGGGGGTCCAGTATCATGGGGATTCCCTCGACCCAACTGCATCGTCTTCGACTGGGAGCTGCTGGAAGTCTCGGGAAGGTCCCCAAGGGCTCCACGGTCGGGCTCCGTCTACAGAGCTATGCTGAAGGGGTCCGAGTGGACCCGCTGCTGTTGAACGTCGGGATGGTTGTGTTCCAATGGGCGACTGCGGTCTGGGAGTCGTTTCCGAAGCTTCCTGTCCTGGAACGGTGTCTGGAAGGAGCCCTGGGCCGTCTCGAAGGAGTTCAAACACCTTGGAGGTTAGCAGCAGCCCCAGCTGAAGTAGCCGTTCTCAGTCTCCGCAGAATAGGCTGGAGTTTGCGGTCAGGTGCGTGCATGGTCACGGATCGGCAGGAAGCGCTTGACCTTCGAGTGTTACCTCCAGCGCTCGTTCAGGAGCTAGCAGTTGCAGGCGCCAGGCGAGCTTCTGATCGGCAAGCTCTATTTTGTCGCGAGCCCAAAGCCAGGTGGAATATGCCGATATTTTGGGCAGGACTTGAGGGGCTCCTGCATCGGACCAAGGGATCCTGGACGAAGAGGTTTCAGAGGACGTTGAGATCTTTGATGTCTGGGGGGCACTGGCCACAAAGTCGGCTCCACCACCATGGACTTGTCGGCTCAGCGAGGTGTTGTGTATGTGGTGATCCTGAAGGGTCCTTGTGGCACAGGGCCTACGAGTGCCCGAAGTATGCAGGGCTCAGGCGTGAATGGGTTGACGACTTCCACAGGACGAGGGCTCGCAGGGCCCGCGAATGGGGGTACGACGAGGGGGAGAGGTTTGCGAGAGGCCTGTTCCCGTCGCCAGAGTTGGTCTTCCCAGTCCCGACCGAGGCCCAAGAGACCATCTTGTGGTACAACAGACCTGAGTCAGGGCTCCTGAGTGGCACGCTGTTCTTAGACGGCTCGGCCCTATGGGCCTCGGCTCCGTTTTTGGCCCGAGCGGGCTGGGCCATTGTGCAGGTAGATAGGTTTGGAAATTTAGTATCGGCGGCCTACGGGCCCGTCCCACGCAGTGTGTGTCCTAAGCAGAGCTCTAGAGACGCGGAGGATTATGCCGTCTCGATGCTGCGTGTGTGTGCTATGGCGCCCTCCGATGTCTTTATAGACTGCGCAGGCACTGTTGGGGCTCTCCGTGGCGGCGAAGGCGCGGGATCCCAAAGCAGTTGTGGTCGGGCCCAGCTCTGGAGTCCGTTCTGGGGAGCGTTCTCGGAAGGGGACTTCCAAGTTTTTAAAACCAAGGCCCATTGCACCAGGGCCCAGGCAGATGCGGGTGCTACCACGGAGTGGGAGTTCAGAGGGAACGCCCACGCCGACAGGTTTGCTAAGCTAGGTGCTGCGGAGCACGGCGTGGGTGTGGAGCAGTATCAGTTGTGGCAAGGCTTTAAGTTTTTAGCCCAAGAATCCGCCCGATGGGCGGCTTGTGTGCACGTTGAGTCCGATGGCCAGGACCATGAGGACTTGATGGAAGCGTACTGGAAGTCTCGGGGCTCCGCTGCCGTGGAAGACCCTGAGGCCCCAGAGGACCCCGAGCCTGTGCCCCAGGCTAGCAGCAGTGGTGGGGAAGCGGGGTCGTCGTCGCTCGTTGGCTACGGGGTGGGCGACGGGTGGGAAGAGTATGCCGACGCCAGTTTTTGGTGGCGAGGCCACAACCTGTTGGAGGCAGACGTGCTCAGCCGCACCGCCCACGTTTCCTCGGTCGTCTTCTGCTGCCGCTGTGGCACGGTAGCCTCGGACGGCAAGCTAACTACGGGTCTCTCGGGGCGGTGCCCCGAGAAGGCCAAAGCTGGTGGTGTGGACCAGCTGCGAAGGATCAAGAAAGGAGAATTCCCCTCGTACCGCGCCAATGTGCGCTTTTTGAAGGTCGGGAGGCCGCACGGAGTGCTGCCAGCGACCCGCTCGAGCCTAGCCGAGGCCGAGCCGAGCCTGCCCCCAGAGCCGCAGCCCTCGGCCCCAAGCGTCGGGGCTAGCGGCGGATGGGGAAGGGCTGGTCTTGGGGGGCGGGCCGAGGTTCTGAGGGCGTTTGGGCTGTGGGAGGGGGAGCTCGAACTGGTCCGAGACCTCGGCCGATCGGCCCTGCAGCGGAGCGCGGACAGCCCCGATGAGGGCGAGTCCGACGCCGAGCCATTCTGATTTAGGGCTTGACCCCGCGTTTAGCGCAAACCCATACCATACCATACCTCCTCCTCCTCCTCCTCCTTCTCCTCCTCCTCCTCCTCATCCCCCCCGTCCTTCTCCTCTACGTCGGCCCGCCCGCCCAGCGCGTCAGGCTGTAGCGATGCGTCAACGGGGCGGCGCGGGCGGCTGGCCCCTCGAGCCCACGGCTTACTTGAGCCAATTTTTCTACGGACCTCTCAGAAGCACACAAACTACTTCAGGGAGGGGAATGAGAGGGTACCCCTCCCCGAGGGGAAAAGGGTCTTGGAAGAGCAAAGACAACCATCGTTAGACCACCTACGCCCACGGGGCTGGTGGCATTCACGCACGACTGCTATGGAGCGGGCCGATCGTCGATCGGCCCACTGACTCTTTGCTCTCGCGCCCGCGGCCTCCCTGAGAAAAAACATCGATACCGCTACGCTTCGCCTGCTTTCGCCGTTCGGAACCTCCTGGGAGGCCCTCGTAGCCACGCCTGGGTTCGCTTCGATTTACCGTCCATCACGCGCCCTCGGAGTGGTCTGTGGAGCAGCGGTATTGGCAATGGTACTGTTCGGCTTCCCCAGGATGCAGTCGGACAAGGGCTTGCTGCGCAAGCTGTACTGGCTGGAGAACAAGGTTGGTAATAAGGTTTCGCGCTGCGCGCAGGCAGCCCGCCCAGGTGGCGCCGCTTGCCTTCAACAGGCGAACCGAGTAGCCCAGGGCCGTCTCAACACCCTGGCGCCGCCTCCAGCGGCACCCATGCGTCGCTACGTGCCCCAGGGTTGGTGCGTTGAGATCGCCCCGGGCAATTCGGGGGGCCTGTTGCGGCCAGCCGGGACTACCTGGGGGGCTGTCTTTGCGCAGCCCGAAATTTTATCAATCAAGGTCCTCGAGCTGGAGGGCTGCAACAACCAGCTGTCGCGGATGAGGGCGGAGGCCCAGGAGCTGTCGAAGGGCAGCGCCGACCTGGAGCGGAAGATGCGCTCCTGCTCAACCATGGAGGAGCGTGCCTATGGCTGCAGGGTGGACATCTGGAACATCGCGGACGCGGTTAGAGGTCGGGGAGCCAAAAGACAGCGTGAATACGAACTGGGGGACGTCCTCTGGACGCGCTCTCCGCTGGCGCCTGAACACCCCTCCCCACACCCCGTCCTCTCCAGTGTGAAGCCCTCCCACTATCCCTCTCACTACGATTGGATAGGCATCACCTTATCTCGGTGCCGATCGTGAGGAATCCCTCGGCTTCTGAGGGCCCATCAATGTTAGCTGGTTGCCCCCGGGCACGCGAAGTGATGAGGCACGCTGGGGATGGCGCCTTGGGGCGGAGGCGGGTTCGCCCCGCTCGCGAGACATCGTCCGAGAGCATCTGGAAGCTTGCGTTCATGTCGCTGCATTGGTTCTCCTCAGAGGTGCCATGGAGATCGAGGCTGCGGAGAAGCAGATAGGGAAGGGCGTGGCAGATTTTTTTAGTGGTCTGAACCCGTTCAGATAGTGCGGCTCGCGCCACAGTCAGAAAGAGGGGAGAGGACAGAGTTGTCGGTGCAGAGGGGGGGGGGGCAGGAGTAGAGGAACAAGAGGAGAATGGGAAGCGGAATAGCTGGAGGAAGGAGGGGAAGTGTGCGGGAGGACAGGAAGGATGAGCAGGACCTCGAAAATGGTTCCTAGTCGTCTTCCTGCTCGCCCTCTCCCTCCCCTCGATTCCCCCCGATGGCAGGAGTGGATGGACAAGGATGAGGTGGAGGATGTGGCGGAGGAGGAGGAGGAGGAGGAGGAGGAGGAGGCGAAGATAGATCAGAGGGATAAGGAGGAAGAGGAGGAGGAGGCGGTTGAGGAAGGAGCACAACAGACGGAGAGTGGGGGGAGAGGGCGACACGGATGAGGATCAGGAGGACCAGCACGAGGAGGCGGAGCGACGGGTAGACGAGACTTCGCAGGCTGAGCACAGTCAAGGCACCTCGCGTTGAAGTGCCCCTCGAGCAAAGCGGAGCCCCCCTGAAATCGTAGTATTCCTTCTTTTGATGTTTCTTCCCTCCCTGTTCCTGTGGATGCGGTGGGGAGTGGAAGATAGATTGAGAGAGAGAGAGAGAGCGGGAATCACCCTCCTCCTTCATCCCTCCCTCCCTTCCCATCGTTCCCCCACCCGTTCACCTTGAGGGTGGAGGGAGTAGCACGAGGAGGAGAAGGAGGAGAAGGAGGAGGAGGAGGAGAAGGAGGAAAACGAGGCGGATGAGGATGAGGATGGTAATGGGGAGGAGGAGGATGAGAAGGAGGAGGGGGAGGAGGAGAAAGGTGAGGAAGAGGAGATTGCAGCAGACATGAACAGGATATTCATATTGGCCCGAAGACGAGAGAGACGGGGACGGGATAATGACGAGGAGGAGGAGGAGGAGAACGAAGGGGGGGAAGGGAGAGTGGGGAGGCGTATGAGGATGAGACGAGCCAGGATGAAGGATATATGGCGAAATCTTGATGCGGAGGACGGGGGTGGATGAGGAGGGGGTGGAGGAATATGAACAGTAGGACACAAGAGGGAGGATATGGCAGCGAAGGAGGAGGAGGAGGAGGAGGAGGAGGAGGAGGAGGAGGAGCAGGAGGAGGAGGAGGTGGGAGGAGGAAAGATGATGGAATAGGCGTTCTTGCTCGTCGGTATGGGAATGCTCCGAACCTGTCGACAGAGAAGAGGGGAAGAGAAAAGTGGAGGAAGAAAAGGAGGACAAGGATGATGGGGTGGAGAAGGATGAGACTGAGGAGGAGGCGGGAGAGGAGGAGAAGGAGGATCTGGACAGATGAGGAGAACCGAGGATGGGAAAAGGTTGCGGAGAGAGGACGGAAACGGATGAGCAGCGAGGATGACGTGCGTAACCATTGTTGCAAGAAACCCTTCCGTCCCAGGTACCCTCCTCACCAGTTCCGGAAACACATTCCTTGTTCTGCAATGCGAGCGCTTCGTGGGCATTGCATTCAGGCGGGTGCCTCGTTTAAAAATGCCCTACGTCCATCTAGCTAGAACGAATGCGAGAAGGTCAGAGAAAGGCCCTATAATTCCAGGAAGGAGTCCAGCGAGAGCCTCGTTTTTTGTGAAGTTGCTGCCCTGAACTCGCGTGAGGGTGATACGGTGGTGCACTGTTTGCCGCAGTGTGCGAGACGTCTTACGAAGCAACTCCGTTGTGACAAATGAGCACCGAGCAATTTTTGGGGGTGGAGGGCAAAGGAGGACATCTGAAAGGCCGCCTCCATTGACTTTCGAGGCTTGAATATGTACAAGGTGCAACACACGACGAATTGATTTTCGAGGTGCGAAAGCCCATATGGATTTCACCCTGAGCCCTCCACCCTGCGAAAATGCTCAGGAGCAGCCCTCCCTTCGGCCTCCCTCACTCCCGGCGAGTGTGGGTCCCGTTGAGGCGAGCGCCGCTTCTTGGAAACGATCGCCCTCCATCCGTGTAGCTGCAGGAGGCTGTTCTGGCGAATGTGTGCGGTGCTACCGGTTGAGCCAGTTTGCGAGGTCGATTCTTGGAGCCCCCGTGCGTTGTCGTATTTGGTCTTGTCTCCTCCTTCTCCCCCCCCTGCGTCTCTCCATCTCCCACCTCCGTTCTCCGCCTCCACCTCCTCCTGCTTCTCCTCTTTTTTCTCCTCCGGTCTTCAAATCCGGACCGCCGACGTTCTGTTGTTTTCTCCCCGCCCGTCGGAGGAGTGGACCCCATCCCCGGGGCTGGCGTTTCATCCTGGGTCGTTTCTTTTGACAATCAAAGGGCCCCCAAACCGGCCTCCATAGGCCCAAACAAGCGAAACAACAGCCGCCTCGAGGGTTGCGTCTGACTTTCCACCTCTCCTTCCTCCCCCCTCCTCCTCCTCCTCCTCCTCCTTCTCCGCCTCCTCCTTCCTCCCCTCTCCTCCTGCACCTCCTCTACCCTGCCTTCTTCTCCTCCTCCTCCTCCTTACCCTCCTCCTTCTCCTCCTTCTCTTTTCCTTCTTCTCACCTGCCATTCCTTTCCTTCTGACAAACTCCTCCCTGTCGCATACTGAGGCCCATCGTTTCGCCTGAGGCCTCCTCACCACTGATGATCCTGAAGCAGCTTCGCGGATGGAGGGCGGGTCGTTTTCAAAATGTTGCTCTCGCTGTAGCGCCGCGCTCATCCGTCTTACAAACATTCAGAATTTTCACGGATGGAGGCCGGGTGGTTGTCAAAAGATGGTTCTAGCGCCGCGCGCAAAAGTTTCACAGGTGAAGGGTGGGTTGTTTTCAACAGGTGACTCTCGCCTCAGCGCCGCGCACATTCGGCTGACACAGTTGCGAGAGCTTCACGGATGGAGGGCGGTTCCTTTTCAAAATTCGGTTCTTGCTTGTGCGCCGCGCACATTCGTTGGAAACGTTTAGAGGACTTTCAAATTTTCTCATGGCGAACGCCCCCAACATTCTGTTTTGGCACGATGTAGGACTGTCTGGGCGCAACTACGTTGGTTCATGGTGTTGAAGTCCCAGGAGGGGTGTCCTGGCATAGTACAGGATCATCAGGACGCAGCAGTAACGATGATTCGCGGCGTTGCGGTCCCAGGAATGGTGGTCTGACGCAGTTCAAGATTCCCAAACGGTTGTTTCCAATGGGACATATTCCTCAGTGAAAATGAGTTCTTGCAGTGGCTTGTGAGGAGGGAGCCGGGGGGAGGGTTATTGAAATATCGTTGGTGAAACTTTGGGTTTGCAATGGTCCTCCTCCTCCTCCTCCTCCGTACCAATTTTGGCTCGAACAATTCTGGCTCATGGTAAGTGACTTCCAGCTTGTTCCATAATCATTCCCGCTCCGATGGGTGATGCTTTCGCTGCCCTGCATGTCATAGGCCGCAAACGTGGTTCGTCCGTGGGCAATTTCTCGGAATACGCCATGGCTAGCAAACCTGCTGTCGTTCTTCACAATGCGGTCGGGCTTGGCCACGCCAGTGGACAAGACCACCAAGCTCTCGAGCGTCGTGCGGCACTCGCTCCACGTGGTCCGCCGCCATCGCGACTTCAAAATTCTTCACCCGCTCACACATCGGGACGCACTCTCAGACTTGTCGAGGACGCTTCTGAGTCGGTTCGCTTCTCGCCGCTGGAGTTCAAGCTCATGCGGCACATGCGGAACATCACCAAGAGCCTCAACACCAGCTCGCACAAGGCTTGGACCCCGACCGTGAAGGTTAAGCTCAAAGGCGACCCAAGCTTTAAGGTCAGCCTGCTGTTTTTGCTCCGGGCAACAGAACCTCCTTGGAGTTTCTGACGCCCGCGCATCCAGGCTCTAGCAGTATCTTGCTGGACGCGGTGCAGAGGGGCGTATCCTTTGGCAAGACCGTGCAGACGGTTGGCTCTGGATGTGGTCTCCCTCGCGCCGACGTTGCACCCCACTTGCCTTCCACCGTGGCGAAGTTGCGGTGGGATTTTGAGAAGCTGGAGTCCGCACTTGCCGTAAGCGAACAACAACGACGGGAAGATCAACGTGCCTTCGAGGGCCTCCTCAAGCAGGTCAGCGACCATAACATAGAGTTCAGACAGGGCTTGTCCGCGGCCATCGCCGCGGCCGAGCTCCAGTCCACCAACGTCGTGGACCAGCTGCAACAGCCGCTGAAGCAGGTCGCGCTGATGAGCGAGCCCACTGCCATCATCAACAAGTACCACTGCGTGCCCCTCGAATTGCCGCAGAGCGCGCCGACGGTCGACCTCGCCGTGAACACTCTGCCCGATATGCATTCTGCTTCTGCCATTATTGCGGACGCTGTCGCCGCGCTGCTCAGCGTGCCCGTTTCTGTCGACCCCGCGCTGAGCAGCATCCGGACGCAGAGTGTCGACCAGGAAGGGCTACCGCCCGACAAGAAGGACTTGCACTCCATCGTCGTTGCTGCCTGCAGCGTGCTATCCGAATCCGACGTCTTCGCCGACAAGCGCAATGACTCGGCCATCACCTTGCCCGTGAGCGCTGGGCCCTCGCTCAAGCGCGCCACCAACTCCGACCACCTGATGCCGATCAGCATCCAGCACCACTGCGATGACCTGATGAACTCCCCGCATGACGGCTCGCTGGGCACGTCCGAAGTTCAAGCGTGACAGACTCCGAATCGCTGGACAAGGGGCCCACGCTCGACAATCATAACCTGCTCTCCATGATCATTACCGCATCCCGCGTGATGATCGAACCTTCGCTAGGTCTGTGAACGCGGAGTCTGCGCTCAACCGCGCCACCGTCTCCGACGACCTGTTGTCGATCAGCGTGCAGAACCACTACGACGACCTTTTCCCCGCATGGCCGTTCGCAGGACATTAGCCGAGTTCTGGACCCTGTCGTCTGCGCGTCGGTGGAGGACCTCATCAGCACCGCCATGTGCTACGGCGACATTGATGGCGGTTCCACCACGTCGGACTGGTCCCAAGCGGACATGGAGGCAGACCCCGTGCTCTTCGCCTCCTGCGACTCGAAGTGCAGCGACTTTTCCACTTCCGATCTTCACACTTCTACACGA